ATATTTTAACTGTATCTCAGAAATACTTTAATCGAAAAGCGAAATATTTCATAAAAGTTACGAAATATGTCTGAAACGTTTCTAAGATAGCTCTGGAATAGCAAAGGCATTCATATATAAAAATTATTCACAATTTAAATTGAATAAGTCATGATAACATCAAAATTACGTTAGATTAAATCATGATTGATAAAAAAAATGATTTTTGATAGACATTTGGAGCCATTTTGACGTCATGATGACTTTTTATTCTGTTTGGATATATTTTTCAATTTGTTGCATGTGATACATTTTAGATTTTAGACAGAAACATTTCTATTAAAACATTTCATATGATAGAATTCTTTATGTTGCAATATTTCATATAATATATTACAGAATCTTCTTAGAATTGTTGCACATGAGATGTAAAAGGTTGAAACATTTCTGAAAATTTTCCGCAGCAATCAGTGCTGTATGGGTGTAGGCATGCCTACTCCTGCCGTGCGTTGATGTGCAATTGTTTATCTCCTCTGCTGTTTTTCAACGGTTTTTTAGTTTAGTAGCAAAGCGTGTTACGACAGTGTACGTTAAAGGTTTCGTGCGGGATTATAAAGTTTTGGAGATTTTTTACACACAGAAAATGCTTCTTGCGTAATAGTGTAGTGATACGTATGATAGTACTACATTTGATAATGTTACGTGTAAAAATATGTTGCTAAGAAAAAAGAATGTACTAGTGTTTATTAATAGAACAAAGTGTAATAGTGCAGTGCTTGTATATATTATTTATTTATTTTAGTGTAATTCTGTCATCGATTTCACTTAAAGAATGGATAAATATATGCAACTTTTTGACAAAGTATGGGAACAAATTTTTTTTGCTTCTATTAATAATAAAACCATCTGTCTTCTGTGTGGTTATCAATCCTCTACTATTAAAAAATATATTCTTCAGGCATTATAATATTAAACATTCAAAGGACTATTCAAAATATGTGGACAAAGAAAAATTCGATTTAATTGAAGAATTAAAACTAATTTATAAAGAAGGTTGTAATTCAAGTTCTCATGTTCATAATACTACACCTTCAGTAAAAGCTCTTACAACGTCGTATGCAATTTCAAATTTAATTGTGAAAATTCTATGCCGTTTTATGAAGGAGAATTTGTAAAGGAATGTATCATTGCAGCAATAGAGTCGTTTGGAAATTCATTAACTCTTGAAGAAGCTGCTAGCATTCCATTAAGTGACAAAGTCACAAATTAAGTGACTATAAAGTCAAGAATCGATGACATTGTTGACTCTTTAGAAAATAAATTAAAATCTTTAGCTTCTTGCTCTTTCTTTTCATTATGTCTTGATGAGAGCACCGATAATCGACATGTGAGTCAATTGAGTATTTTTGCGAATCGTGCAAAACGATTTCTCACATATCGAGGAGCTCTTAGATTTTGTCTCATTACATGATACGACAACGGGAATTGATATTTTTGAAGCTGTTAATCAAACTCTTCAGAAATTTAGTATAAATTTTTTGGCTATTGTAACTAACGGCGCAAAGGCAATGACAGGTTCGAAAAATGGATTTTTCGGTCAATTGAGGCAGCGAGCTTAAAATTCCCTGTTATTCACTGTATCATTCATCAAAAAGCGTTATGTGGGAAAGTTGTGAAATTATGTACCGCAATGCAAATGATTAGAAAAATTATTAATATAATTATAAGCGGTCATAAGTTCCTTTCTCATTGAAAGTTTCAACATTTTCTCGAGATGCATAACGCACTTTATACAGATGTACTCGTATATTGTGAAGTTCGGTAGCTCAGTGCAGGAAAAAAAATGTTTAGAAAAATTCTTTGCAATAAGAAAAGAGATTTTCCTTTTCTTGCAAGAATATTTTCCAACAAAATGTGATGAATTTCAATTTTTCTTTGAAAATTTAGATTCACTTTGCGAGCTTGCTTTAATTACTGATATGTTGATATGACAAACCATTTAAACATTTTAAATTCGAAGCTGCAAAAGACCGATCAAACTATTTCACAACTCGTTAGTCATATCGATTCTTTTTGCAGAAAGTTAATATTATTCAAACATCAATTAGAAAATAATGTTTTTCATTTTTTCCTTTCTTGCCAGATTTTGTTTGAAGAACACGGTACAAATTGTGATTTTCGAAAACAACTAAATATAATCGAGTCCTTAATAGGTCAATTTGATATGCGTTTCAGTGATTTCGAAACGTTAAAACAAGATTTGACACTGTTTGAGAATTCTCTCATTATACAAATCAAGGAACAAAGCCTAGAATTTCAGGCAGAACTTTGCGATTTACAATGTGATTTTTCTTTGAAAATACGACTAGAAAAGGAGAATGAATTCTTCAAAAGTTTAGATGCATCATGTTATCTACGTCAGAAAGTCTTCAAATTTTCTCGATGTTCGGGTCCACATATTTGTGGGAATGCTCTTTCTCTAAAATTTACGAAAAATGATTCTTTAAACGATGCATCGTTATTCTCGTTAATACGAACTACTTCTTCTAAAATCTCTCTGGATATATCCCTAGTAGAATCGTGCAAACGACCCAGAAGGTCAAATTAACATTTTCAAGAAAATTAGTTGCTTCTATTTCATCCTCATACATTTCTATAAATATTTTATATTAGAGAATGTTGTTTTCCTATCGAACTACATTTGATCAGTTTCTTCATTATTTTTTAGTGGAATAGGCCTACTGGGGAAACCACTTAAAAAAAAAAAACATCAACAATAGTACCTCTGAGGTAATGTAGAAAGCTATTGTCCATATCGTAATTACAGTATTATAATAATTACTATATTATCGCTTATTATATTAGGTGTTGGAATTAATTCGTAGCGTTTTTAATGAAAGAATGTTATTTATTTCACATGAGCATTAAAAAATACATTAATGAAAGTACTTCCCATCACTTGTAAAACGCTACGAATTAATTCCAACACCTAATATTATTGTAGAATATACACATAACATGTTAATAATAAAAAATTTAAATATTAAAAATCATGTATTATAGGAAAGAAAATATTTTAATGATATTTGCCGGAAGATATGCATACTTTTTGTATCGCAACGCTCCTGGGGCACAGCGTCACGTGAGCGATCGGCGGCTGAGTCTCGAGTGATAGTGGGGATCGCTTCAGGAATCTGCCCGAAATGGGCAACTAATTCCAAGTACTGTTTTAGACATAAGATATATAAAAGATGTTTTTTAGATATCTTATGCAATATAAATTTTATCTGGGAAATTGCTCTATCATGTCAGATTCCGATATTTTAATCTAAAAATGTCAAAAAAGCCTACTTCGGGCATTTTTAGATTAAAATATTTCGTAAATCTAATGTAATGGAATAATTTGAACTATGGATTCGAATTCAGCATAAAAAAATCTACGAAAATCACTTATGATTATAAATATATATATATATATATATATATATATATAGAGGTCAACATAGTAACATGAAAAAAAAAGTAGATGTATTATAAGTGTGTTCACCGGTCTTAAGGCGCCTCCGGGCGATATGATTAATGTATACGCTAACTTTGCACACATATGCTAACGGTTACAGGAGAAGCTACTGAAATAGCTGTGCTAGCAGCTGGTCCACAAAACCCACATGGCAGCACTCC